CCTATCGTTACGCCACTGAAATCGGACGGCAAGACCCCTGGAATTTGTGGTGACTATAGATTAACATTGAATTCCCGTTTGTTGAAGCAAACGTGCACGACAGAAGAGGCTGAAGATATTCTAGATTGGCTTCATGGTTCTAAAGTGTTCTCGAAAGTCGACCTAAAAGATGCTTATCTTCGAACCCCTTTAGATCAATCTTCATCTATTTTGACGACAATTAACATTCCTTTTGGTCTGTTGAAATACAATCTCCTTCCATATGGTCTATGTTGTTCTTCAGCCACATTTCGGGAAGTAATGAAAAAAGTAGTTGGTGATCTTAAAGGTGTTGAAGTTGATCAAGATGGTATCATTGTTCATCGATCTTATAATGCAGTTCATGACCAGAGATTTATTGCTCTATTGCGTCGTTTAATTGAGAATAATATTACAATGAATGAAAATAAGTGTTCATTTTGCGTATCTAGTTTTGAAAGTCTTGAATACCTAGTTGATGGTGATGGTTTTAGACCAGATATGAAACGACTAGCTCCACTGACAAATGCACCGTATCCAAAAAGTCTTACGGAATTACGTTCACGAGTGGGTGATCTTCAACACTATCCCCGTTTCGTTCCTAATTTTTCTTGTCGTGCAAATTGTTTGTTCAATATTTTGACATCCAATTCATTCAAATAGGGTGAGGAACAGGAGTTGTGCTTACGAAATCTACTAAAGTTTCTCCAAAGTTTTGCTGTTCGTCGAACTCACTACCTAGTGTAAATTCTGTGCTTATTACTGATTCCTCACCTCTGGGCGTTGGCACAGTTTTGGAGCAGGAAGGTAAACTAGTTGTTTGTGTTTCACGCAACCTTACCGTTACTGAACAAGTTTATTCACATACTCAGCGAGAAGCATTAGCTGCGTTTTGGGCTGTTAAAAGACTTCATAAATATTTGTTCGGAAAGAAATTCATTATTATTACTGATCATGAAGCTTTAAAGTTTATTTATCATGCTGAAAAATCCTTAGCACGTTCCTCAGCCGCTATGGTTCAACGATGGAGTATTGCTTTGAGTGCATATTACTATACGGTTCAGCACAGAAATGCCAAACAATTTCAACTTGTTGAGTACATTTCTTGACAATCATTACAAGATAGACTTGTTAATACTTCAGACTGTTTGTTAGTGCGACCCCTATCAGTGAGACTTCGTGATCTCATTTGAGAAAGTCGTAGATACTTTAGATGTATACACACTGCTATACGGAAAAACTGGAATGCTAATTTGAAACGTCGATTACCTATCTGTTTTTCAAAGTGGGATGAGCTATCTACTACTCCTGGTGGTATTCTGTGTCTAAACGATCGTGTTGTCATTCCTCCTTCATTGCGTAAATCTGTTCTTGAAGATCATCATAGTGATCATTTGGGTGTTGAAAAAATGAATTCCTTGGCAAGGCTCACATATTGGTGGCCAGAGATAAATGCGGATATATGTCGTACAGCAAACAATTGTGAGAAATATTATCGGTTGAAAAGTCATATGTTGAGGTGGATTCCATGACTAGTATCGTCTGAGATTTGGCAGAGAATTCATGCTGACTATTGTAGTCCGTTTCTTAGTAAATACTATGCACTAGTAGTTATTGATTCTTTTTCAAAGTAGCCTGACGTTTTTTTCACAACTTCACCAAGTTCTGATTTCACAATCCAAGCATTAAGAAAGGTGTTTAGTCGAGAAGGGGTTCCCATGGTTTTAGTGACAGATAATGGCTCTCATTTTGCTGCAGATGCAGTCACTACCTGGTTGAATGATGTAGGGTGCAAACATCTGTATACTGCTCCCAGACATCCTTGTTCTAATGGTCAGGCAGAGAATTTTGTAAGGACATTAAAGACTGCTATTGATTCTATAGCCGCCTCAACATTTAATGAGCTGGAGAGGGGAGTAGATACCTTTCTGTTGCAATATAGAAATACCAGACAATCGGTGACGAAAGAGACTCCATCAAAGCTATTTAAAGGAATAATTCTTCCGTCGAATATGAGATGTTGAGAGTCTGCAGACGTTACATATTATCGAGGAAACGATCTTCGACCATCCACGGGTATTGTTCTGAATAATGTAGGAAAATTGATAGTGCGAATTCTAGACATCAATTACTTAAATACACATAATCGACATTTTGATCAAATACAATTTCAGGAAGCAGGTGAGTCAGTTTCAATTTCGGTTGTTAATTCTAATGCTAATGAGTACATTCTAAATAATACAGAATCCTTATCCAATACAATGTCAGACAGATTAAGGATGAATTTGAGAAGAAGACGTACGATTGATTACAATCACCTAGACTTCAGTTTAAGCTGTGGCGGATGTGGTGTTTGAACGAACTAATGATACCTTTGTACTTGTTGAATACTTGATTTCCAATTCTAAATACAACAATTTCGTTCGTGCTTGCGTCGTACTTCTTGATTCAATTGAGTTATTTTGGGAATTCTTAATTCATACTATAATTCAAATAATTCGAACATTATAGTAGCTCACAAAACAGCGTTACATTTTATTTGTATTTACTACAATTAAGTTAAACTCATTAGTATTTATTGAAAATATTAGTGTCCACTGCCTTCCCAACCATAAATATGGATACTACTTTGTATATAATTATCTGTGCTCTATACTATATCCTATTTACATTGTCTATTCTGCAATCGACAAAGATTTCGCTTAGGTTGGAAATGATTAGTGGCAACTAGGTAAAGATTCCTAACTAACTAATAAGATCAGAAATGTCAACAGTTAATTAGTAATCGCATATTATTCTTTACAAATGAAATGAGTTCAATAACACAGCAGTTTGATTGTAAGGGTATTCGCACGATGTAACTGTATCATATAACCATGATCACTGAAAACAACAATAGAGAAAACTGTTACTGATTATTAGAAATTTAAACTAGTTCACAGTGCCAAATGTTATACATATATCAGTAAGAGTGTAAAAGCTGTGGTCCGATACGTAAAATAATTTAAAATTGATTGATCACTAGGTGGTGATCAATACTAGTTAAGTTAACATGTGGTCACTAGTCTTGATGACTCGATATTGCGTGCATTATGTTAAGATAAGATGGTGTACGCAATGTCGAGTCATCTAGACTAGTGGCCACATTACAACTTGGTTGCTATGATTTGATGTGCACTAAGAATTACCTGACATAAATGACATTGATTGTCATTCAGTGATTAATCAATTGTAAATACATCTCGGTTCTACAGGAGGTCAGTCAAAGCCCGGATAGCTCAGTGATAACGTTTCTAACTGTGAAACTAGATGAAACATGATTGAATCCGTCAACGAGCATTATTTCCTTCAAGATCACAGGTACACTTTGCTGACGATTACCAAGTAACACGAAACTTTCAGTCTAGGATTGACTACCTCTAACCACTATCTTAAAATAATGTATTTCATTGACAAAAAAACAAATAGCCTACTTAGCAACTTTGTCTTTATAAATTGAAAGATAATTCTGTTTAAATATTACGTATAAAAAGAATTACATTTCTCTATTCAAAGCAAAATCATCCGTCTGTAAGGTTGTCTTTTATTAAACTCTGTATATTATGATTTTCATAAAGAAGTTTTTCAGTTGACTATCTGAATTGTTTTCTTAAAATGTGTTAAACTACTATTAATAAATCAGATGAACTTTGTGGATATTATAGTAAATTCAGTGGTTAAGATCATGAGTCAATTAAAGTTAGACCACTATGAAGAATTTGGAAGCACTAGACGGCTCAGTGGTCTAGTGGTTAAGTGCACGCGCGTGAAACCAGTTGGTCCTGTGTTGGAATCCCGCACGGGACAAAGTCGTGGATGCTCAATGTTAGTATATCTTTGAAATAGTCTTCCAAGAACAAACTTTCAAAATAAATTCATTGATATTTTTCACCATAAATTGTAAGCATCTAGCTAATGAAACTTAATATTTCATGAAAGATTATATTGATACAATGATCCACTCAAAACCAACTGCTTTCAAGTAACCGTTTTCAATATAGTATTTAAGTATTGACTGAGGTCTCTAAATATTGACCAACTAATCCTAACTACTGTGACTGAATTGGATAATTCCTCAACAAGTGTTGAATCATGGACACTTCAGATTGATTAAGAAAATCTGATCACTTATTTCAATGAATTTACTATATATATATAGTTCAAAGATGATTCAATTCAAATATACAAGAGGAATTATCAAGGAACTTCATTTATCAAGATCGGAGTAATAATCTTTACAAATCATGCCAAAAAATGATCTACTAACTCACAGCTTCTCTACAATATTTATAGACAACTTTACGTTTAGTTATAACACATTGTCAGATCTGTGTTCATAATACATATAATCCGTGTCGGGTAGAGACAAGTATCTACCTCAATACAATGGAAGTTGGTCGCGCAACTTCGTGGATTGGTTGATGTTGGACACTAACACCATTGGATGCCAGCTCAGTGGTTTAGTTTGTTAAGCGCCTGATAGGTCCTGGGTTCGAATCTCGCGGGGAGCGGGATCGTGGATGCGCACTGTTGTAGGAGTCCCACACTAGGTTTCCAACAGTGGTCTAACATCAATTGATTTATGATCTCAATAGAAAAAATAATCACAACCTCTATACTGACATATTATTTCAGTTTCATTTGAAAGTAATATATATATATATATATATATATATATATATATATACGATGCATACCTTACAGAATCTCTTGGCATTAGGACAAAGTAGAGTGCCTTGAAGCCAAGTTCTTCCATCAGTTACTTTAAAATGTACTTCACCTTTTTTAGGACAATGAACAGTTGCATTTTTGAAGTAAAAACTAAGTGTTCTGTTTGAGTGACATACGTACTGAAAAAAGAAGTCAAAGTTATTAATAAATCTTTAATATCATCCTAGACTGACATAAAATAATGCCAGTTATGAATAATTACAATTATATTCATGGTGAGACTATAATATATGGACGAAATTTGAATGACGCTAGAGTGACTTTAAGAATGTTCACTTAATAACTGAGACTAAAAGGGAGTTGTAAACCACGCAAGACTGATAGGTCCTGGGTTCGAGTCTCGCGATCCCCGATCGTGGATGCGTACTGCTGAGGAGTCTAGCAATAAAACGAAATGGTCGTCCACTGCTTCCAGATTTTCCATAGTGGTCTAGTTTCAGTTGACTCACGATTTCAACGATTGAAATTACCATAATATCCACAAAAATGCTTCTGCTATACTTTATAGTTGATGGTTAGCCTTCGGATTTAGAGTAATGATTCTCATCACGAACTATTCTCAGCTTCATTCCCAAAACTCTATAAAGTCGAATAAATAAATGAATTTCGTGCCAAAATCCAAGATCTGTTATCTTATATCTAACTAGTTCGTTCATACATTATAGTTTCGCCATATTGTTATGATAAATAAAATTTTACTTGAAGTGCATGTATTGCTTTCTACTTCCAAAATTTTTTTAAGACTTTTGAAGTCCTACTTGTTTTAGTTTGATTCAAATAGTCCCCTAAAAACAAGGTTTAACTCAGTGTTTTGAGAAAATCTTTGACTTTTGATTAATAAAACCGGTTTTATTGTAGTAAATGACGTACTGTTCAGAGATGAATTGAACAAGATATAATTAATGTGAACAAAGATTTTTAGAATCATAAACGTCATGTTTCATATTATATTATTACATATTTTACTTACTTACTTACTCACTTACTTACTTACTCACCTAATTACTTACTTACTAACTTACTTTTGTTACCCCTCATTTGGGAGACTAGGTCACATTTTAGTAGACGGAAAAATGTTAGACAAACAGACTTAAACTTACCTTATGACAACTTGCTTGCACATTACTACTTATTTCCTCCTTATAATAGTCCTTATAAATCCAATTACCTCGATGTTCTGTACAAAGTGCCTTGGTTCCATATGTTTGGTATAAACGATTAACACCATCTGATATTGAAATAAATTTCAAAAGCTATCTAAAAACATTCTTAATTTGTAGTAAAATAAACAAAAATATAAGTAAACCTATGTTCACAAACACAGAACATTTGATATTGTATTCTGTGAACAAAGAACCTAAATGATGATGATGATGATGATGATGATGATGATGATGATGATGATGATGATGATGATGATGATGATGATGATGATGATGATGATGATGATGATGATGATGATGATGATGATGATGATGATGATGATGATGATGATGATGATGATGATGATGATGATGATGATGATGATGATGATGATGATGATGATGATGATGATGATGATGATGATGATGATGATGATGATGATGATGATGATGATGATGATGATGATGATGATGATGATGATGATGATGATGATGATGATGATGATGATGATGATGATGATGATGATGATGATGATGATGATGATGATGATGATGATGATGATGATGATGATGATGATGATGATGATGATGATGATGATGATGATGATGATGATGATGATGATGATGATGATGATGATGATGATGATGATGATGATGATGATGATGATGATGATGATGATGATGATGATGATGATGATGATGATGATGATGATGATGATGATGATGATGATGATGATGATGATGATGATGATGATGATGATGATGATGATGATGATGATGATGATGATGATGATGATGATGATGATGATGATGATGATGATGATGATGATGATGATGATGATGATGATGATGATGATGATGATGATGATGATGATGATGATGATGATGATGATGATGATGATGATGATGATGATGATGATGATGATGATGATGATGATGATGATGATGATGATGATGATGATGATGATGATGATGATGATGATGATGATGATGATGATGATGATGATGATGATGATGATGATGATGATGATGATGATGATGATGATGATGATGATGATGATGATGATGATGATGATGATGATGATGATGATGATGATGATGATGATGATGATGATGATGATGATGATGATGATGATGATGATGATGATGATGATGATGATGATGATGATGATGATGATGATGATGATGATGATGATGATGATGATGATGATGATGATGATGATGATGATGATGATGATGATGATGATGATGATGATGATGATGATGATGATGATGATGATGATGATGATGATGATGATGATGATGATGATGATGATGATGATGATGATGATGATGATGATGATGATGATGATGATGATGATGATGATGATGATGATGATGATGATGATGATGATGATGATGATGATGATGATGATGATGATGATGATGATGATGATGATGATGATGATGATGATGATGATGATGATGATGATGATGATGATGATGATGATGATGATGATGATGATGATGATGATGATGATGATGATGATGATGATGATGATGATGATGATGATGATGATGATGATGATGATGATGATGATGATGATGATGATGATGATGATGATGATGATGATGATGATGATGATGATGATGATGATGATGATGATGATGATGATGATGATGATGATGATGATGATGATGATGATGATGATGATGATGATGATGATGATGATGATGATGATGATGATGATGATGATGATGATGATGATGATGATGATGATGATGATGATGATGATGATGATGATGATGATGATGATGATGATGATGATGATGATGATGATGATGATGATGATGATGATGATGATGATGATGATGATGATGATGATGATGATGATGATGATGATGATGATGATGATGATGATGATGATGATGATGATGATGATGATGATGATGATGATGATGATGATGATGATGATGATGATGATGATGATGATGATGATGATGATGATGATGATGATGATGATGATGATGATGATGATGATGATGATGATGATGATGATGATGATGATGATGATGATGATGATGATGATGATGATGATGATGATGATGATGATGATGATGATGATGATGATGATGATGATGATGATGATGATGATGATGATGATGATGATGATGATGATGATGATGATGATGATGATGATGATGATGATGATGATGATGATGATGATGATGATGATGATGATGATGATGATGATGATGATGATGATGATGATGATGATGATGATGATGATGATGATGATGATGATGATGATGATGATGATGATGATGATGATGATGATGATGATGATGATGATGATGATGATGATGATGATGATGATGATGATGATGATGATGATGATGATGATGATGATGATGATGATGATGATGATGATGATGATGATGATGATGATGATGATGATGATGATGATGATGATGATGATGATGATGATGATGATGATGATGATGATGATGATGATGATGATGATGATGATGATGATGATGATGATGATGATGATGATGATGATGATGATGATGATGATGATGATGATGATGATGATGATGATGATGATGATGATGATGATGATGATGATGATGATGATGATGATGATGATGATGATGATGATGATGATGATGATGATGATGATGATGATGATGATGATGATGATGATGATGATGATGATGATGATGATGATGATGATGATGATGATGATGATGATGATGATGATGATGATGATGATGATGATGATGATGATGATGATGATGATGATGATGATGATGATGATGATGATGATGATGATGATGATGATGATGATGATGATGATGATGATGATGATGATGATGATGATGATGATGATGATGATGATGATGATGATGATGATGATGATGATGATGATGATGATGATGATGATGATGATGATGATGATGATGATGATGATGATGATGATGATGATGATGATGATGATGATGATGATGATGATGATGATGATGATGATGATGATGATGATGATGATGATGATGATGATGATGATGATGATGATGATGATGATGATGATGATGATGATGATGATGATGATGATGATGATGATGATGATGATGATGATGATGATGATGATGATGATGATGATGATGATGATGATGATGATGATGATGATGATGATGATGATGATGATGATGATGATGATGATGATGATGATGATGATGATGATGATGATGATGATGATGATGATGATGATGATGATGATGATGATGATGATGATGATGATGATGATGATGATGATGATGATGATGATGATGATGATGATGATGATGATGATGATGATGATGATGATGATGATGATGATGATGATGATGATGATGATGATGATGATGATGATGATGATGATGATGATGATGATGATGATGATGATGATGATGATGATGATGATGATGATGATGATGATGATGATGATGATGATGATGATGATGATGATGATGATGATGATGATGATGATGATGATGATGATGATGATGATGATGATGATGATGATGATGATGATGATGATGATGATGATGATGATGATGATGATGATGATGATGATGATGATGATGATGATGATGATGATGATGATGATGATGATGATGATGATGATGATGATGATGATGATGATGATGATGATGATGATGATGATGATGATGATGATGATGATGATGATGATGATGATGATGATGATGATGATGATGATGATGATGATGATGATGATGATGATGATGATGATGATGATGATGATGATGATGATGATGATGATGATGATGATGATGATGATGATGATGATGATGATGATGATGATGATGATGATGATGATGATGATGATGATGATGATGATGATGATGATGATGATGATGATGATGATGATGATGATGATGATGATGATGATGATGATGATGATGATGATGATGATGATGATGATGATGATGATGATGATGATGATGATGATGATGATGATGATGATGATGATGATGATGATGATGATGATGATGATGATGATGATGATGATGATGATGATGATGATGATGATGATGATGATGATGATGATGATGATGATGATGATGATGATGATGATGATGATGATGATGATGATGATGATGATGATGATGATGATGATGATGATGATGATGATGATGATGATGATGATGATGATGATGATGATGATGATGATGATGATGATGATGATGATGATGATGATGATGATGATGATGATGATGATGATGATGATGATGATGATGATGATGATGATGATGATGATGATGATGATGATGATGATGATGATGATGATGATGATGATGATGATGATGATGATGATGATGATGATGATGATGATGATGATGATGATGATGATGATGATGATGATGATGATGATGATGATGATGATGATGATGATGATGATGATGATGATGATGATGATGATGATGATGATGATGATGATGATGATGATGATGATGATGATGATGATGATGATGATGATGATGATGATGATGATGATGATGATGATGATGATGATGATGATGATGATGATGATGATGATGATGATGATGATGATGATGATGATGATGATGATGATGATGATGATGATGATGATGATGATGATGATGATGATGATGATGATGATGATGATGATGATGATGATGATGATGATGATGATGATGATGATGATGATGATGATGATGATGATGATGATGATGATGATGATGATGATGATGATGATGATGATGATGATGATGATGATGATGATGATGATGATGATGATGATGATGATGATGATGATGATGATGATGATGATGATGATGATGATGATGATGATGATGATGATGATGATGATGATGATGATGATGATGAAGATGATGATGATGATGATGATGATGATGATGATGATGATGATGATGATGATGATGATGATGATGATGATGATGATGATGATGATGATGATGATGATGATGATGATGATGATGATGATGATGATGATGATGATGATGATGATGATGATGAGATGATGATGATGATGATGATGATGATGATGATGATGATGATGATGATGATGATGATGATGATGATGATGATGATGATGATGATGATGATGATGATGATGATGATGATGATGATGATGATGATGATGATGATGATGATGATGATGATGATGATGATGATGATGATGATGATGATGATGATGATGATGATGATGATGATGATGATGATGATGATGATGATGATGATGATGATGATGATGATGATGATGATGATGATGATGATGATGATGATGATGATGATGATGATGATGATGATGATGATGATGATGATGATGATGATGATGATGATGATGATGATGATGATGATGATGATGATGATGATGATGATGATGATGATGATGATGATGATGATGATGATGATGATGATGATGATGATGATGATGATGATGATGATGATGATGATGATGATGATGATGATGATGATGATGATGATGATGATGATGATGATGATGATGATGATGATGATGATGATGATGATGATGATGATGATGATGATGATGATGATGATGATGATGATGATGATGATGATGATGATGAAGATGATGATGATGATGATGATGATGATGATGATGATGATGATGATGATGATGATGATGATGATGATGATGATGATGATGATGATGATGATGATGATGATGATGATGATGATGATGATGATGATGATGATGATGATGATGATGATGATGATGATGATGATGATGATGATGATGATGATGATGATGATGATGATGATGATGATGATGATGATGATGATGATGATGATGATGATGATGATGATGATGATGATGATGATGATGATGATGATGATGATGATGATGATGATGATGATGATGATGATGATGATGATGATGATGATGATGATGATGATGATGATGATGATGATGATGATGATGATGATGATGATGATGATGATGATGATGATGATGATGATGATGATGATGATGATGATGATGATGATGATGATGATGATGATGATGATGATGATGATGATGATGATGATGATGATGATGATGATGATGATGATGATGATGATGATGATGATGATGATGATGATGATGATGATGATGATGATGATGATGATGATGATGATGATGATGATGATGATGATGATGATGATGATGATGATGATGATGATGATGATGATGATGATGATGATGATGATGATGATGATGATGATGATGATGATGATGATGATGATGATGATGATGATGATGATGATGATGATGATGATGATGATGATGATGATGATGATGATGATGATGATGATGATGATGATGATGATGATGATGATGATGATGATGATGATGATGATGATGATGATGATGATGATGATGATGATGATGATGATGATGATGATGATGATGATGATGATGATGATGATGATGATGATGATGATGATGATGATGATGATGATGATGATGATGATGATGATGATGATGATGATGATGATGATGATGATGATGATGATGATGATGATGATGATGATGATGATGATGATGATGATGATGATGATGATGATGATGATGATGATGATGATGATGATGATGATGATGATGATGATGATGATGATGATGATGATGATGATGATGATGATGATGATGATGATGATGATGATGATGATGATGATGATGATGATGATGATGATGATGATGATGATGATGATGATGATGATGATGATGATGATGATGATGATGATGATGATGATGATGATGATGATGATGATGATGATGATGATGATGATGATGATGATGATGATGATGATGATGATGATGATGATGATGATGATGATGATGATGATGATGATGATGATGATGATGATGATGATGATGATGATGATGATGATGATGATGATGATGATGATGATGATGATGATGATGATGATGATGATGATGATGATGATGATGATGATGATGATGATGTGATGATGATGATGATGATGATGATGATGATGATGATGATGATGATGATGATGATGATGATGATGATGATGATGATGATGATGATGATGATGATGATGATGATGATGATGATGATGATGATGATGATGATGATGATGATGATGATGATGATGATGATGATGATGATGATGATGATGATGATGATGATGATGATGATGATGATGATGATGATGATGATGATGATGATGATGATGATGATGATGATGATGATGATGATGATGATGATGATGATGATGATGATGATGATGATGATGATGATGATGATGATGATGATGATGATGATGATGATGATGATGATGATGATGATGATGATGATGATGATGATGATGATGATGATGATGATGATGATGATGATGATGATGATGATGATGATGATGATGATGATGATGATGATGATGATGATGATGATGATGATGATGATGATGATGATGATGATGATGATGATGATGATGATGATGATGATGATGATGATGATGATGATGATGATGATGATGAGATGATGATGATGATGATGATGATGATGATGATGATGATGATGATGATGATGATGATGATGATGATGATGATGATGATGATGATGATGATGATGATGATGATGATGATGATGATGATGATGATGATGATGATGATGATGATGATGATGATGATGATGATGATGATGATGATGATGATGATGATGATGATGATGATGATGATGATGATGATGATGATGATGATGATGATGATGATGATGATGATGATGATGATGATGATGATGATGATGATGATGATGATGATGATGATGATGATGATGATGATGATGATGATGATGATGATGATGATGATGATGATGATGATGATGATGATGATGATGATGATGATGATGATGATGATGATGATGATGATGATGATGATGATGATGATGATGATGATGATGATGATGATGATGATGATGATGATGATGATGATGATGATGATGATGATGATGATGATGATGATGATGATGATGATGATGATGATGATGATGATGATGATGATGATGATGATGATGATGATGATGATGATGATGATGATGATGATGATGATGATGATGATGATGATGATGATGATGATGATGATGATGATGATGATGATGATGATGATGATGATGATGATGATGATGATGATGATGATGATGATGATGATGATGATGATGATGATGATGATGATGATGATGATGATGATGATGATGATGATGATGATGATGATGATGATGATGATGATGATGATGATGATGATGATGATGATGATGATGATGATGATGATGATGATGATGATGATGATGATGATGATGATGATGATGATGATGATGATGATGATGATGATGATGATGATGATGATGATGATGATGATGATGATGATGATGATGATGATGATGATGATGATGATGATGATGATGATGATGATGATGATGATGATGATGATGATGATGATGATGATGATGATGATGATGATGATGATGATGATGATGATGATGATGATGATGATGATGATGATGATGATGATGATGATGATGATGATGATGATGATGATGATGATGATGATGATGATGATGATGATGATGATGATGATGATGATGATGATGATGATGATGATGATGATGATGATGATGATGATGATGATGATGATGATGATGATGATGATGATGATGATGATGATGATGATGATGATGATGATGATGATGATGATGATGATGATGATGATGATGATGATGATGATGATGATGATGATGATGATGATGATGATGATGATGATGATGATGATGATGATGATGATGATGATGATGATGATGATGATGATGATGATGATGATGATGATGATGATGATGATGATGATGATGATGATGATGATGATGATGATGATGATGATGATGATGATGATGATGATGATGATGATGATGATGATGATGATGATGATGATGATGATGATGATGATGATGATGATGATGATGATGATGATGATGATGATGATGATGATGATGATGATGATGATGATGATGATGATGATGATGATGATGATGATGATGATGATGATGATGATGATGATGATGATGATGATGATGATGATGATGATGATGATGATGATGATGATGATGATGATGATGATGATGATGATGATGATGATGATGATGATGATGATGATGATGATGATGATGATGATGATGATGATGATGATGATGATGATGATGATGATGATGATGATGATGATGATGATGATGATGATGATGATGATGATGATGATGATGATGATGATGATGATGATGATGATGATGATGATGATGATGATGATGATGATGATGATGATGATGATGATGATGATGATGATGATGATGATGATGATGATGATGATGATGATGATGATGATGATGATGATGATGATGATGATGATGATGATGATGATGATGATGATGATGATGATGATGATGATGATGATGATGATGATGATGATGATGATGATGATGATGATGATGATGATGATGATGATGATGATGATGATGATGATGATGATGTGATGATGATGATGATGATGATGATGATGATGATGATGATGATGATGATGATGATGATGATGATGATGATGATGATGATGATGATGATGATGATGATGATGATGATGATGATGATGATGATGATGATGATGATGATGATGATGATGATGATGATGATGATGATGATGATGATGATGATGATGATGATGATGATGATGATGATGATGATGATGATGATGATGATGATGATGATGATGATGATGATGATGATGATGATGATGATGATGATGATGATGATGATGATGATGATGATGATGATGATGATGATGATGATGATGATGATGATGATGATGATGATGATGATGATGATGATGATGATGATGATGATGATGATGATGATGATGATGATGATGATGATGATGATGATGATGATGATGATGATGATGATGATGATGATGATGATGATGATGATGATGATGATGATGATGATGATGATGATGATGATGATGATGATGATGATGATGATGATGATGATGATGATGATGATGATGATGATGATGATGATGATGATGATGATGATGATGATGATGATGATGATGATGATGATGATGATGATGATGATGATGATGATGATGATGATGATGATGATGATGATGATGATGATGATGATGATGATGATGATGATGATGATGATGATGATGATGATGATGATGATGATGATGATGATGATGATGATGATGATGATGATGATGATGATGATGATGATGATGATGATGATGATGATGATGATGATGATGATGATGATGATGATGATGATGATGATGATGATGATGATGATGATGATGATGATGATGATGATGATGATGATGATGATGATGATGATGATGATGATGATGATGATGATGATGATGATGATGATGATGATGATGATGATGATGATGATGATGATGATGATGATGATGATGATGATGATGATGATGATGATGATGATGATGATGATGATGATGATGATGATGATGATGATGATGATGATGATGATGATGATGATGATGATGATGATGATGATGATGATGATGATGATGATGATGATGATGATGATGATGATGATGATGATGATGATGATGATGATGATGATGATGATGATGATGATGATGATGATGATGATGATGATGATGATGATGATGATGATGATGATGATGATGATGATGATGATGATGATGATGATGATGATGATGATGATGATGATGATGATGATGATGATGATGATGATGATGATGATGATGATGATGATGATGATGATGATGATGATGATGATGATGATGATGATGATGATGATGATGATGATGATGATGATGATGATGATGATGATGATGATGATGATGATGATGATGATGATGATGATGATGATGATGATGATGATGATGATGATGATGATGATGATGATGATGATGATGATGATGATGATGATGATGATGATGATGATGATGATGATGATGATGATGATGATGATGATGATGATGATGATGATGATGATGATGATGATGATGATGATGATGATGATGATGATGATGATGATGATGATGATGATGATGATGATGATGATGATGATGATGATGATGATGATGATGATGATGATGATGATGATGATGATGATGATGATGATGATGATGATGATGATGATGATGATGATGATGATGATGATGATGATGATGATGATGATGATGATGATGATGATGATGATGATGATGATGATGATGATGATGATGATGATGATGATGATGATGATGATGATGATGATGATGATGATGATGATGATGATGATGATGATGATGATGATGATGATGATGATGATGATGATGATGATGATGATGATGATGATGATGATGATGATGATGATGATGATGATGATGATGATGATGATGATGATGATGATGATGATGATGATGATGATGATGATGATGATGATGATGATGATGATGATGATGATGATGATGATGATGATGATGATGATGATGATGATGATGATGATGATGATGATGATGATGATGATGATGATGATGATGATGATGATGATGATGATGATGATGATGATGATGATGATGATGATGATGATGATGATGATGATGATGATGATGATGATGATGATGATGATGATGATGATGATGATGATGATGATGATGATGATGATGATGATGATGATGATGATGATGATGATGATGATGATGATGATGATGATGATGATGATGATGATGATGATGATGATGATGATGATGATGATGATGATGATGATGATGATGATGATGATGATGATGATGATGATGATGATGATGATGATGATGATGATGATGATGATGATGATGATGATGATGATGATGATGATGATGATGATGATGATGATGATGATGATGATGATGATGATGATGATGATGATGATGATGATGATGATGATGATGATGAT